AACAGTTCTGACCCCCCCCCCCCTCCCAATTTTACGTACAGCCAAGCCTCTCCTTCTCCTTTTCAAGAGTCAGCGCAGGAACGTTGCGACAACCTAGCATAGGCGCGTGAATAACCACATAGTTAAATATATACTTTGCTCGGGAATTCTTCACCGCGGAGATCGCATCGCACACATTCGCGCTCTCGCTGATATGATACCGCTGCTGCTGGGGCGGCACACACACACGGTCGGCCGTTCGTTTGTTTCCGCTGCTGCCTTCAGCGCCCGAGCCGGCGGAGAGTGCCCGTGGCGCACTGGATCAGCAGGGCGTCCGTGGGGTGCTTGCCGATAGCGTGGAGGAGCTCCTCGGGAGCACCGATGGCCACGAGAGCGCCGAGGTGGCCGGGGTCGAGGGCGATGTTGTGAAGGACGAGGCAGGCCCTGTTGACGATGGTCACCATGTTCGAAAAGGCTTGGATCGCCGACACCACGATGGCGACTACGGCCTGACGGAAGGACGACGGTGCAGGAACAAGCGGGCCAACACAACACACGAGTGTCAACAACGGCCGTCAGCATCGCGGCGCCCTCCTTCCAACGCGATCAACGTGAAAAAACAAGGCCCAACCTGTAAACCTGAACCTACCCTCTACCCTACTGTTGGCAAAAACACAGGGCCACCACGCCGTTCCCGGCCCTTCGGCACCCCCGTTCGGGAGGCGTGTATTTGGTGATGCGGGGATGGACGTTTTCTGGTGCTCTCTCACCTTCATGGTGTCCGGCTGGATGATCTTCTCCGAGGTCACGTCCGGCGTCACCAGGTTGATGAGAGCGAACATGGCCCTGAAGTGAACCTCGCTGTCCTGGGGGTGCCGAGCCATCGCCCTCACGATGGCGAGGACCCCGCCCTGGCGGCACAGGGACCTCTTCTGCCCGGGGATCAGCGCCAGGTTGACCAACGACCAGCAGGCCACGGCCTGGACCGCGGCGTTAGACCGGTGCCTCTCCATGCACGCCAGGACCGCCTCCACCCCATTCCCAGAGGGGCCGAAGGCCCGCAGGGGGCCGTCGGAGGCTGGGGGGCGGGACATCACCGCCCCCTCCATGCGCCCTGCGGGGCGCCCGGCCAGGACGAGGAAGCGGAGAATTTTCTGCCGAGAAGAGTAGCGACCGCAGGGGAATTGGAAATGCTTTTTTTAGGGAAGCGTACAGTAAGTTTGTTGATTTCGTTCGAGGGATTGGGTACGCGACGCACGCGGCTCACGTGCTCGCAGCACCGTTTTTCTGACCCGTCTCCACGCGCGCCAGGTCATTGCTGCCCACTACCGGGTCACGGTGCATGCACGGTTCGATTCTATTCGACGGAACCCACCAGAAGCAAGTCCACGTCGTCAGGGTACGTCTTGAGCGCCCAGAGAGCGTGGTCCATGATGCGCCAGTCTACGCACTTGACGGCCTCGCGGGCCTCTTCGCTGTTCAGGAGGTGGCCGAGCCTGTCGAAGCAAGCGCGGGTCATCTCGGCTAGGGTCCGGTAGGCGTCCAGCACCTGCACGATCGCGACCACGTTGCCGTAGTCGCCGCCGCCGCATGTCTCCTCCGCGGTGCCGTCAACAAGAGATAGGCAGTGCACAAGGTCGATGTGGAGGGTGCGCCAAGCGTGGCAGGTGGTGTTGGGGGGAACCTTCCACTGCTCCACGCACCTCGCCTTCCAGATGTTCTGCGTGCCTCCATGCATGACATCACGTGCAAACGGCGACGGTGGTGGTATGAAACCACTGCTGTTAGCGCAGAACCTACGGCTAGCTGGTGGTTGCTTATAAAGCTAGGGATAACACAGAAAACGAACGAGAGTATTCCAGATGTCCGCGTGTATTCATAGCATCACAGGCAACGCGCGAAAAGTGGTACGATATCATGACGGTTAGCGCAGGACAACAGCTATAGCTGGTGGTTGAAATAAAGTTGGATACTATGAAATGCGGTTGAGAGTAGCTGCAGTGCATGTATCTCGGACCTTGCGGATCATCCCAATGGGGCAAGGCTCAAAACGATGGTGCGGGCAAAGGACACAAGACTTGGAAGGCGACATTTCGGTGCACTCTCGTTGCCAAACCCCAAAATAGGAGTACTTGTGAACTAAACAAAAACACACATCCCATTTCTTTTGCGTGCTCTTTCACGTATTCTCTCTCTCTCTCTCTCTTATATGCATCACACAGCAGTCTTTCGTGTGCGTCAATGTGGGGGTACGTATGCACGTGAGAAGAGCGTGGAAAATCATAAGCATGCATGCATAGATCCGCGGCGTTGGTTCCGATGCATGTGTGGGAAAAAGCGGGCTATTTTCACCTTCCTGGGAGAATAACACGAGGGACATGAAAAAAAAACGCCGGTTGTGCTTTCACGGCACCCCATCGAACCGACAGTTCTTGGATCTTCCTGGACTTATCTTGGTCCGACTTTGGTCCAAGTCTGGGCGAATAAATCCGGTTTAGGACCGGGTCGTCGGAGCGCGGATTACTCCCCCTTCAACTGCTCCGTAAGAGAAACTTGGTCGAGATGAGGAATGTCTCCTTCAACACGATACCCCATGCTCAAGAAGCGCCATCTGTGTCGGATTTTTGGGCCGACGCTTAACAGTTCAAGAACCAGATTCAGAACACACA